GGAATGTTGTATGTTGCTGTGTTGATCGCGTTCAGACGGTGAGGAAAACGTGGGAGACCAAGAACTCTTCGACGACCAGCAGGACCAGCACGAGTTTGTGAACCAAGGCAAGTATAACACGGGCCTTCCTTGATGTCCTATCTCACTTTAATCAATTACTCATTTGCATGTGTCTAATTTTGATACCCGTAAGGACATCCTAGTGATTGTTTATCCTGTTCCTTGTCTCCTATGGGTTAAATGCATATGGGTAGATTGCTAGTGCTCTAACTGAACTTGATATACCTGTTGATGAATGATACTATGGAACAAAGTGAGTAACATGATTTATAACAACTGTTCCATAGGCCGAAAGTGCAAATGACCTTTGTTCATGTTGCTCCCGGCCCTCCATAAGGACTTATCTGTCGGCAAAAGCTGGGACTGACAGTGCAACCGGGAGAGTCATATGGCTCTGACTTTAGCTCAGTAATAGGACCTTTTCTAGCTAGTTAGGGGTTACCTTTTTGACGCAAATGGGGCTTGCCACGTTGGGTATAGGGCTGCCTCTGTTCCTATGTGTATAGCCGCGATGGATATGTGCCATAGGAAAGGGGGGTTCCTACATCTGCCTGCCAAGGAAACCTAGCGGCCCTAACTTGTTAGGGAAACCTATGAAATGGCTTCATAGTGTACCCTGCCCGCTCACCTTGGAAATGACATGGGAGTAATTAACCCGGGCATATGGGGATCACGACTCGCGGTGAATGTGCACCACCTCTGCAGAGGGTAACAAACTGTTATAACAGCCGTGCTCACGGTTACGAGCGGCCCGGAAAACTCACAGAATAACTGGTTACTTGTTGATGATAATTTAAAGTTGTTCAATGATGATATATGGTACACTTGACCCCGATATATGTTCTTATGGGAATTAAATGGGAGCTTAAGCATAACTTGGTAATACTTGAGAATAAAAGCTTGACCTATTAAAAATACTAAGTGCAGTAAACCAGAGTCTATCCTTTTTGAGCTTCATAACCCCATGTTATCTTGCTAAGTACGGAATGTACTTACACTTGTTTATTTTCTTTACTTGGATAAAAATCCGGATGGGTAAATGATGACAAACGGCTATGAGGATTTTCGGGAGGATTATTAGGCTTGTGGTCAACCAGTTGACCTTCCCCGTGATGACGGCCATGAGAGTTTTATTATCTTTTAGTATTCATTTGTGATGTATGAGACTAAGTTTTATTATAACTCGATGTATGAGACACCGTGATGATACTTTATGTAATTTGTCAGCTTGTGTGTGTGATTGATTCCTGGGCACACACGAGTTTTGTGCATTCAATTTTATCCTTAAAATTGGGTGTGACAAATTGGTATCAAAGCCGTGTTGACTGTAGGACGCAAGCCTATTTAGAAAATGGTCGTTTTAGCATCTTTGCTCCTCTGGTTTCTTGCTTACTGACTTATTCTTGTTATTTTATTAAAACATTTATGCTTTTCATACCTTAATCTATTATTTAAAATTGTTGATTCTAATTTCATCTCACTTTAAATCTATAGATGTCTCACAATCCGAAGACTGCTCGACTCAGCACCGCCGGCTATCGTGCCATGTTCACCCCGCGTGCCCCACAGGCGGAGAGGGAGATTGTGATCATCTCCGACGACGAGGAGATGGCTACACCTACTCCTACACCAGTTGCCGTGCCAGTCTATCCTGTGGTAGCTACACCTGAGGAGTCGACGGCTACTTCTCCTACACCTGCACCCTCCCCAGCTGCCCCCGTGGAGGACGAGGAGATTGGCTGGAAGTGCAAGTACTACTTCAAGCCAGCTCCAGAGACAGCCTACTACTACACACTCTCCTCACCCACGTGTTGGACGACTACTTCCCGACTTGCAGCCTCCATCAGCTACCATCTGCTTTGAGTACAAGCACCCACTAGAGGCTACCTTGGAAGGTAGAGCTGGTGGTCACCGCATGGAACGATATCATTAATGGACATGAGGTGGAGATCGGCCCACTTGTGCTCCCTGCCGGGAGAGCCCATGCTTTGGATGGCATGGAGGATGCTGCATGAATGCCTACATCCACTACCATGGTCGTCGCTTCGAGGCCATGAGGGAGGACCGCTTCAGGTTCCTTCCTCGAAATGATCATGAGGGTGTTTGGCAGGTTTTGGCTCCACCAGAGAATGACCCAACTCTGGAGGCAACGGTGCAGCATGTCCACGCTATGCAGGGAGTGGATGAGGAAGTCAAAGGAGAACTGTGTGCATCTCAGAGGGCTCAGAGACGCCTCCAGAAGCAAGTGGATGAACTTCGAGCACAACTTGGACAACCTTCCATCTACAAGAAGAAGCGCCGTTCCTTCACCATGATTGACACCGCTCCATAGGTGTTAGGTGCCCTGATCTAGATTATCACATCGTTAGTTCGTGTCCTTATTTAGTCTTGTTGGTCTTGTGAACTTGGTTGATTAGATGTTTGATTTGTGAACTTGGTTGATTTGGTATTTTGCTTGATTGCTGGAAGTTTGTGGGCATGTCCACAACTTCCTTAGATGGGAACTTTAAATTTAGAATGAAATCTTAATGCAGATGTTTCGTTTTATCTTATCTCTGCTGTGCTGATTTCTGGAGCAGCCTGTGTTCTTTATCTGGTATGTCGAAATCTGGGATGATAAAAATTCTGAATTTTTTGTGGAGATAACTAGACCTCTGTATCTTTCAAGTGTCTTTGGAATCACGTCAATAGCTGTTCAGATTTGGGAGATCTAGCTGTCACAAGTTGATGTTCCTGCGCTGTCTGGAACCCAGAACAGTTTCGGTTTAGCCCTACTTTAGACTAAGTGTGAGTCAGAATCTGTAAAAGTGATCTAAATGAAAGTTGTAGCTGGTCTCCTAAGCTTTCTAACAAATCTTGGTGCACCTCTGTTGGATCTCGGAAACTCGAGTTATAACAGTTTTACTGAACTGCTGAATTTGAATCTAGTCCAGAAAATTCTCAGCATTGTTTCTTATCTTTTGTAAACTCTCTATAATTGGAAAATCTCTAAATTTTGCACATTTGTTGGAAAACAGATGGCCACAAGAGGAGGAAGAGGCAGAGGCCGTGGTCGTGGACGTGATGCTCTCATAAATCCACCACCACCGCCACCTGTGACCATGGAACAGATATTGGGAATGCAAGCGCAGCTGATGCAAGCTATGATGCAGCGCTTGGACAATGAACTTGCAAGAGGGCCACCGCCTGTCCAGGTTAGAGATAAGCGTGGAGAGTTTATGAAAGGTCGTCCACCGGTGTTCACCCATGCCTCAGACCCTATGGAGGCAGATGATTGGTTGCGTGCTGTGGAGAAACAACTGAACATAGCACAATGCAACGACCTTGAGAAGGTGTTGTACGCTTCCGGGCAACTCCAAGGAGCTGCTCAGGATTGGTGGGAATCATTCCAGTTTGGACGTCCCAACAATGCTCCTGCTATCACTTGGCAGGAATTTAAGGACAGTTTTCGGTCATACCATATTCCTGATGGACTAGTGGAACTGAAGCAGGAAGAATTCAGATCTCTCAAGCAAGGATCAATTAGCTAACAAAAGAACTATTTCTCTGTATTCATTAGCTAGCTACAGAATAAGTTATTCTATAGCCACCTAATTTTTAAACTAATTTACGATAAAGAGAATACATATTTACGATAGTTCGGTTACTATAACACATGGGTTATTTACCTTAACATTATAGTAAATCACATAGCAAGGAGTTACTATAATCTCATAAATTAGCATAGTAATTATGGTAACTCAAAGTGGCCACAGAATAAGTTATTTTATAGCCAGATGTAGAACAGTAATTCTATACACACACGTTTACTGTTCATCAATCAATACAATCATAAGTTCCATCCATTTCTCTCGCTTTCGCACGCTTGCTTTCCAACAAATAGAATTGGCACAATCACGTATTCGTCACTTACACCACTTCTTATATGGTATTAGGCTTTGTAAGGAATTAAGGTTAACATGGGAAAGTATCTCTGCGCACATCATTGTGGTTAAAGCTCTGGAATACAAGCGCTAGCATAATGTTTCTCTTAATAGTGAGGAGAAGGCCTAACAATGAGGAATCATCAACGTTGAATGTTGCATAGACTACTCACGCATATGCACGGTTCATCCTCGCTGTAAGTTTTCCCATGTTATTTGTTTCATTCATGGATATATCTATCTACATGTAATATTATAGAGCCAAAATTTCATCCTATTTTTTTCATCTCCCCTAACTATTAGACAGTTAAGAGTTTCTTCTGTCCCACTTTTTTACTTCCCAAAACTGTCTCGTATGTGACCCGGACTCATATGACCCGTGTTTCGTATGAGTTACAACTTACGATCCATCGATGATTGATACGAAGTCTGATTCTAAGACACGTTTGCTAGTATATAGAAAAACAAAAATGATAAGAAAAGAAAAAGAAAAGTTGCCAGTAACATAGGCGCCGGTTCCTTTAGTTTACGTGGGTACCTTTCCGAACAAATGCACCACACCTTCTCAATTCTCATTGGTCATAATACTAAATCGATCCAGTTCTGTGCCCATTAACTTTCTTCACCCGACGGCCGACACCATAAAACATGTCCGATCCACTGTTGTGCTAAATAGCTTTCCCTATATATTTCCTTACATAACTTGCACTTTGAAAACTATATTAATATATATTTGAGCCAATGCAATCATCAACAATATAAGTTAAAATTAGTTACTCTCTAACCACCCCAGTAACGTTCGGAAAATTCAACTAAGTATATAGTAAGGTATATATGTGAGCCCCTCAATTAATTTTTCATTCATATGTAACAATAATTAAGGAAACAAGATAGAAGAATTGATAGGATGTACGAGAAGAAAGGAAAACTAAGGACAATAAGAGTGCCATACGTGCAGTGTTAAGTTCCAGAGAGGATCGGAGATGCATGGCAAAACAAGATTTGGTACATGCATACCTGCACGCCAGTAGGAAGCTGAGTAGGGTGAGAGTCCAAAAGTCCTTCATCCCCAGAACGGCGACGAAGCCTCCGAGGAGGACGACGGTGGACCACAGCAACGCCAGCGTCCCAAGACCGCTTGTAATGTTGGCTGTGGCCGTCATAAGCCTCACGTAGCGATTGATCAGCTCTTCCGGCCTTTCGACGACGTTGTCGTCGCCTTCCGGTTCCAAGCCGATTAGCTTTCTCAACGCAACCGGGAAGCAACGGCAACGCCCCATCGATCAGATCAGCCGCAATGGCTGGGCTGGCTGGTTGAATCTGTCTGTACTTTAATTTGGCGATGGGGATGGTGGCTGGACTAATTTGTCTTTACTTTGGCGAAGGGGATGATGGCTGGTTCACAGCAGTGGTCTCCGACAAACAGATAGCTAGCGCGCGACGCGATGGCGCAGGGTTTCTTTAATTTGTTGGGCCGGGGCCCGGGGCACCAGACCAGACCAAACCATTACATGTAGATTCTTTGGCAGGTTGAGGTTCTTCAGCCTACGCTACCGGAAACAGTGACTCTGCCGTGTGCCACAGACACTCGACAAAGACCAAAAAACACTCGGCAAAGGATTTGCCGAGTGTAACACTCGGCAAACAGCACACGGCATCTACAGTGTCGGCAAACAGCTATTTTCCGAGTGTTTTTTATCGCGCACTCGGCAAATGGTTTGCCGAGTGTCAAATTTGACACTCGGCAAAAAAAAGTGGTTTGCCAAGTGTTTTTCCAAAATACACTCGGCAAAGGATTATTGTTTACCGAGTGTTTTTGGGAATTACACTCGACAAACCTATTTTCAAAAAAAAAAAATTTCTCAGCATACCATTATTGTTTGCCGAGTGTTTTTAGGAATTACACTTGGCAAACATATTTTTCAAAGAAAAAAATAATTTTTTCTCAGTATTTTTCAGTTTAATAGTTGTCATACAAAACACTCTTAGTACACCATATCTGCATGCACATCATGCTCGTCGCAACATAATTCTCATAATAACTATATAAGATAGTTCTCATTAAGTCGCGCCACATAATTATCAATGATGTCATGATACATCAGACAACCATCATTACAGTCTTCATATATAATTCAGCATAGCTAAAATTGTTCATAGATCAAGTTCCAGCCTCAAGTTACGTTCTATGGTTCGAAAAATAAAGGAAACCAACACAGATGCTACATTCGGGATGGCACAACCAAGAGCCAACACATAGGCTACATTCTACATGTGCCATGATGCTTACAGCTATTAACAAACAATTCTGCTACACAAAATACTTCCATCCATTGCTTCCAAGTAGGTTGAAGCATGAGAGGACCCATCTGTAATCCCTCTATATACAAAAAAAAAGATAAAATGGGCCATTCATGAGAAATACATTTTAAGCTTTGCTGTAAACAGCCTGACTATAGTTAACAATACTAGTATACAGATAACAGCCTCAGATACAAAACAGTTTATTTCAAGAACAATTAGTGGATATTTGGTTATCTTTTTCTCATCTTGGCTAATATTATTGCTACAAGATCACACTGGAAGAGTGCTCTGAAACAACTACTTGCTGAGATAGTTCTATCTGTAAAGTTCTATGTGGAATTTGACATCTCTAACTCATTCAAATTGTAGATTGTGCAAGATTATGTACGTGTTACCATGAGATATGTTGGCATCACTCATCTAAATCAGGGACATGTAAATTTTGACCTCACATTATCTTGTTCTGTAGTTACCGTACCATCAACGGTACAGGCAAATCATAGTGTGTTCTGTAGCACATTATAATCATAAAGATCTATTTTGGTATGAATATGTGAGATACAAACATCAAGGTTGTGCAAAATAAATCTGAGGTATAAGAGAATGTTTCTTATATGATTCTCATGTGGAAATCAGGAAAGATACATATATGATATCTGAATCTATGAATATATTATTATTTCAGTTAAGGAATAAACCGTCAGTTCAAAGAACAAAGCAACCTTATATTAGCAGTAACAAGTCAACTTGTAGTAAAGTATAAATACTGCACTGTTGGATTATATCTCATACATTGTGCACCTAAACCAGATGCAATGTAATTTTTGAGTGTGGCCACACATTACAGTTAGTGCTTCACAGTATCTAGTAATAGATGAGGCCAGTAAGTGTGTTTTGCTAAATTATCTGAATAGGTTTTCCTCTCCCACTAAATTGTCAATCCATTATCTAATCATATTTGCGGACACCAGTTACAAATCTGGTGGTATACAGACAAATGAAAATCCATTATCTACTAATATTTGCATAAATGAAAATGTGTCTTATAAATTTGCAGATGAGCAGATTCAACAATTAAGCTGTACTACTAGAACTTGGAATATGTGAAATTCTCTCAACTTGGAATATCAGAGCAACAGAGTAGTGTGTTCAATCACTTGTTGACTGAAAAACAAATTTAAGATTTAGGCATTTAAACCAGAGAAAACAAAACTGCATGAGCATCAGATCCTGTACAGGTCAACAAAGAGCAAAAATGAAGTGAGAAGGACAATCTTACCATGTCAGATTCTTCTTCCTTAAGCATGTCATGTTACATCTCTACATTTTTTCGTCAACAATGAGCTGCAAAAAATTAAGTAACAACATGATGGATATTTTGGACCTTTAATTGCAAACAGACATTTTGATAAATCAGATCAGATGATAATAGTAGTGCATACTTAGAGAGCTGTACAAAAAAAATCAGTTTTGTAACTCAAGTCTTCATTAACATTGTTGTACAAAGTAAAAAGCTGGAATTAGAAATAAGCATACTCCTAAATAAAACAATTAATGTTTGTAATAGGCACAGTTCAGTGAGGAGTGAGAACAAACAAAAGTACATGTCAGTTCACCAAATGAGTGAAAAAATGCAGGTGCCCAATAAAATTCAATGCCTAGATCAAATTCAATGTTCTAGCATTCTATGGGGTAGAGGAACCTGATGACAACTCTAACAAAATTTTTATATACGGACTAAAGCAATGACAGTTTTGATATTAGCAGTAACAGAGTAACCTGACATTAGCAGCAGCAGTGGGAAAATGCTGAGGCCGACCCAGGAAGCTAGCTCGAGGGAAATAGCACCAAAACCAAGTCCTTTCTCCTCTCACCTTGTGTACACACAAGCACACTTCTCAACATAATATGATATAAGACTTTTTCCCGTACAAGTATAAACGAAGTACATGCTAGACCATACCTCCAATCTTGCAAAAATCTGAGATCCGAATAGTTTGCTGCCGTCGCCTCTGCCACCACCCACCACGAACACAGCGTCGTCATGGAAGGAGCAAGGAAAAGAAGAAGCGGCACCTGCAAGAGCCCATACACAGCCATGGGCGGCGCCATGGCCGAGCTGCAGCACGCCACGGTGGCAGCGGTGGCGACCCAGCGCCACCAGGTCCCCTTCCAAGGGGCGACCCGAGGGCGCGTCCAAGATCCTCGCTCCCTCCTCGACCGAGGATCAAAGAGGTCGCGTCCCCCACGGGCGGCGGCGCGGCGGCGGCAAGGACGGCTCCGCCTCCACCGGTGGTGACTCCCGCCCCGTCGCCCGCCCTCCTCCGCGCGCCGAGGACCCTAGGCTCAGGTCCCCACCGCCTCCTCCTCCTCCCATTGGATCTGGTCGCCGCAATCGCCTACTTTGCCCTCGCTATGCTCTTCTCTGCCTTCCGGAAGTCAAGGGAAGGGATAAGTCACGGTGGTGGAAAGAATTTTCTATTTTTTATATTTATCAGGTATTAACGAGTTTGCCAAGTGTCCTAGATCTAACACTCGGCAAACTCTCATCACAGTGGTGGAAAGAATTTTTTATATTTATCGGTACAATGAGTTTGCCGAGTGTCTTAGATCGACACTCGGCAAAAAAAAGAGTTTGCCGAGTGTTAGATATTAGACACTCGGCAAAGGATTTATTTATTTATTTATTTATTTTTCTCTTTTCATGGAGGGACACACAGCGCGATGTTTGTCGAGTGCCGTAATTTGCCGAGTGCCGGAGTTTGCCGAGTGTTTTTTATAAGGCACTCGGAGTTTGCCGAGTGTCAAAATCTTTGCCGACTGCTTTAGTCTAGCACTCGGCAAAGAATATGACACTCGGCAAAGCCTTCGATTCCGGTAGTGCTAGCTAACCGGTAAGACGCAGATCTACTTTACAAATATAGAAGTACTAGTACATTGCTTGCGTGCCCTCTGGCATGGGCGTGAATTATTTGGTAAACCAACGAGTAAATAATATATGCTTAATCCTTGTATGGAAAGAGGATTAGGAAATGAGGTTAATATAGTGTCACACCCGATTTTAAGGACAAAATCGAATGCACATCACATGTATGCCAGTTACATTTATTCGTACATGCAATGACAAGTATAGTGATACAGAGCGTTGTTTATTACAAAAACGATAACTTATTACAAAATGACCAGAGGGTCTAAACAGAAATTACATCAAAATTCTAGAGAAGGTGGTCTTCATCCCCGCATGCAAATGACCGGGGTACACCACCTAGCATCGACACTGTCTTCAGGAAACACCGTCTTCCAAAAACTCCATCTTCTAGTCCGAAGAGCTAGGTACCAACACCACTGCAGAAGCCCCCCTTGTGCCAAACTAGAACTTGGAGGAAACTAATTAATTAGCTAGGTCCAACCCATCCAAACCTCATGGTTAGCATTTGTTAAGCCGCGTTACATGCTCCGATAACCGATCCTTAGAATCCAAGCAGAACGAGCACAAGCCCAAACATCCAACCACCATATCATAACACATCCATAACAATACCCACCATACCATGGCACAAACCAATTTTAGCCAAACTTTCCATCCCGCCAGATTCTTAATCACCATGTTGCTAAAAAGATTATCATCTGACGAGAGTCTAACATAGGGGTATGCTAAGTCCTCGGGAAAGGGGAAGCCGACCGACAGACCCCCGCCCCCGACTGATCCTACAGACCGCCCAGGGGCTATACCCATCTCGATACGCTCGTGTGCACCCTCCGAACGAAGTCGGGAGAGCCAAAGCACGCTCGTGGTCGACGCTCGGGCTCGGGGCTCGCCAAAGACCCCGGACCGCCGAGCGATGGCAGCCCGAGCCCGACTCAACTCAGCGATACCCGACCAAAGTGCTCGGGTGATGAACCGACGCCCCGAGCCATGGATCGGGACCTATTTGGGAAGCCGCCAGCATCCGATGCACAGACAGATCACGGAGAT